ACACACTAATCTTCCACATCATGCACCAATCACATCCTTCCATTGCAGCGTTCTGATTGAGCTGCAGGATGGCTGCCATGGTTTTCTCTGACACTGACCCATTTTTACAAACAGCGACTCGACCACTGAGACCACAGTAAGGTTCAGATGTGAAACCAGTAACATGTTTTACTGTGAGACAGGAAACTAAATAGAGTTTTTGTTTGCTTGAAGCTGTTGAGTCACAGTTCATCTTTGTTTTGATGCATTTGAGGAAAAGATAAGTCAATGTTTCCACGACCACAGTTTGCCCCAATTCTAAAAACCACAGGGACCCTGTGCAAACACTAAATGATTTGCAAATCTCACAAACCCCATGATTTTATCATGAGATAAGAAATAAGCTGAGATAAGAAAACCACAAAGAAGAGGCTGATTCTGGAGCATGCTCACATGTGGTTCTTCTTTGCATTATAGAGCTTCAACCTGCATTTGTGAAGGCACGGTGAACAATGCTCACAGACAGTAGTTTCAGGAAGTGTTCCTCAACCTGTTTGTCTTTGGGACCACCTGCTTTTTCTCCATTTGTGCATTCAATCAATTTATTGTGTTCTATTTATTAAAATATGGTTTTATAAGATACACAAATCATTGCATTCTGGCTTTATTTATACAACATCACAAAAGATGTATTAACCCAAGTGAATCTCTAGTTTTCCTGCTTTTATCCCTCATTTCCGTACCTGTAGTGTTTGTCCTCAGGGTGGAGTAAACCATTTCTGGTTGGACGACTGGCATCTTATTGGATGACTCTCCACTGGTGACCTCAGAGTAGATGACCTCATTTGAAGGAGCCTCATTGTGGACTTAGGTAGAGCCATGTAGGCAGCATGAGAGTGATAAGACCAAGAATCACTGATCCCATACAACACATACATACATGTATACTGCTTCACTTACAAGTGCTCAGTTGGGTCAGACAGACTCTATACCTGTGTGTTTCTTCCAAAGAAGCCGAACCAGAACCAGAACCACAAGGACCAGAGACACAAGAACCAGAAAAACCACAGCTGCTATGACTGGGATGACGAAGGGCTGGAGACGAGGAGGAGGAAGAGAAGGAGAAGGTGGATGGGAGACATCAGTGTTTGTTGTTGTTGTTGTTGTTGTTGTTGTTGTTGTTGTGGGAGGAAGAGGACCTGCAGGAGAGATGAGGAAGTGGATTCAGTAAATTTATCATCAGCTGAGCAGACAGGAAGTGATGTCAGTGTTCTGACCTCTGACCCTCAGAAAGCTCTGAGGAGATGATCCAAACTCATCAGTAGAACACCAGTAGAGACCTTCATCAGACTGCTGCACGTTGATTGTGATGTTTTTCTCTGATTTAGGTCTTACAGGACGTCCATTAACGTAGAAATAAGCTGCGACTGTGCCACCAGTTTTCTTCTTACAGCATAGTATGACATCGCTTCCTGTCCTCACAGGAAGTGCAGGGATCTCCAGGATCACTTCTTTATCTGAAGAAAAGACCCACAGAGTGATGTAGAGGTGGTATAACAGTGTGCTGTTAGTCTGATGATGAAATGAACGACTTCATTACCTGATACAGTGATGTTGACTTCTTCACTCTTCTCTCCAGCTTCACCTTCACACCAGTAGACTCCACTGATTGGCTTGAACTCATCAAAGAAACAGGATGAACCATTTAACCTCCCGAAGCCCCGCCCACCCACTCCACATGACTGAGTCCCACTTCCTGTGTCCCTCTTCACCGTCCATTGATCAGAGCCCAGCTGACCTTCACATGTCAGAGACACTGAGGCTGCTGTGAAGAATTGCTGAAGGTTTGGACTGACGGTCAGAGAGACTGGAGGACAGATGGACAGTTTCTATCAGTGTTTACAGTGTTTGTCCTGGACCATGGTGCACTTCATCTACTCACCTGCACAAACAGTCAGTGCAGACAGCAGCAGCACACACACACCTGCAACAGGTCAGAGGTCACTAAAGGTCAGAGGTCAGGGAATTGTAATCTGTTCCTGTGTGGTTCTGGAAACATCATTCAAACCTGACCAAGCAGATTTGGTGTAAAATGCTCGAGCTGAATTCAAATGGACTATTTTTCCTTTTAATTTCTTTTTAGGTAGAAATTCTGAAATAACACGAACCTGCTCTCGACTCAGACAGTTTACACTAAACCAACTTCAGAATTCTCAAAAGAACCTCAAACCTGTTTTCAGCTCTGGAGACCAGAGTCACTGAATTAGAGACTTGGATTTGCACCCTTTAAAAACGTGTAGCTAGTGTTAGTGCGTTTATTTAGGAATCACAAGCCAAAACACTTTATTTATGATTATTGTTTTTTAATGCATTGGATGATTAAAAAATCGGCATGTACATGGAGAGAGTAACCTGTGCTAGCAGTTCACAGAGTTTTATATCAGGAGTTAAAACTGGTGGGGAGAACCTGCTCGTTTTGCAGGCCCTAATTCTTTTGTATTGATACGTCTGCAGGTTTCTAAATAATTGTTCAGTAAGTAAAAAACGACAGATTCTACTAATCACAACATCAAACCCAACATTAGCAGGTTCCCATAGCCAGTGCTGCCGAAGGTAGGTTAGGCCCAATTAGCTCTTACTGGCTAAGTCAAAAAGTAAAAAAGAGAGATTTAAAAAAGCAATCAGAGTTAATGAACCATCAAACCACCGAGGTCACTGGATTAAAGTTAGGCGACTTTGGCAATATCAGCTGCTGAATGAGCAACCTGATAAATCTGTTTAGTAAATGTATGTTTACAGGTTCTAAACATTACAGTTGTTTGAGTCCCGCTCGCCTAAATCACCATCAGAAAATGAACAAAGCATACAGAAAGTTAGGAAAATCCGACGTTAATTCTGAAAAACCAACTATCTTCAGTCATTTAGTTAGACTCAGTCAATCTGGTCTGAACAGAGGAAGTGATGATTACAACAGGCAGATAAGGAGAACATGTGGTACATGCAGCTAGGAGCCGTGGTTTCCTGAGTAAAGGTTAACGTTTGATGAAAACAGGTCACTTTCCTCTGTGACAGACACGACATGAAGCTTCAGCTCTGTGAGTCCAGATTACAGGACAGAGAAACGCAGAGTTAAACTTCTAAACTCTGCAGGGTTTGAATTTTAAAGAGTTTATGCAGTTGAAACAGTTTTCTGTCATTTGCTGTATCTTCATACACTCGAGTTAAATATGAGGTGTTTACAGGAAATACACCACTTGATTTGTGTCCAACCACACAAACAAATATCAGACACAACCAGTCTTAGATAAACAAAAGTAGTAGTGATCACTTCTTCTCACTAAGGAAAACAAACCAACAGATCTGAACAGATTTCATGTGAGAGCTTCCAGCTGCTGAACATATGCTCTTTACCTTTGACCTTTAGTGTGTTGGAGCTGTGATAAAGAATTGAAGAATGGAGGGTTTGACTCACCGAGGAGCAGAGCGACAGATGAAGTCCGCATGTTGTCATGTTGGAGACTGACAGCAGAGTGATGCCTTCAGCTTCACCACTTCCCTGTTAACATCATCAGCTCGTCACGCTGCTGCTTCTCCACAAGGACGAGCTGTTTCTAATACGCTCGTCTTCATCAGAATCAGAGAAACTTTATTGATCTCAGAGGGAAATTGAGTTATCAGAGCAGCAACTATACAAGAAACAACATATAAAATGAGTGTAGAAACAGAGATATGATAACAAAACTATTAAGATAAACAGATGAATATAGAGACATGGGTCTAAATATAAATATACATATGAACGTGAAAAGACAAGCATACAGTCCTGAGTGAACAGTTTTTTTAAATAGTAAATTATATGTGCAGTTTGCTAATACTGCAGTTTATGCAGTCTATGAACAGCTCAATGCTCCTTTTGAGAACAGGAAATAACAAAGAGAATACAATACAACTTTATTTATATAGCCAGCAGTACTCCAAAGTGTTTTACAGTAATACGATCATCTATAGGAGGGAAACATTAAAAGCGAATAACCAACAGGTGGAGAGCACTAATTAGCTGCAGTGCAGTGAAAATATGTAAAAGAAAATACAAACACAACTCGACTAGGAGATTATTCAACAATAAAATAAACTAATTAAAACTACATAAAAGAACATTTACAGGATACAGACAATAACTAGGGAAGGCTAGATTGAGTAAATCTTTTTATTAAATTATGACCCCTGTGACTTTACCTGTAAGCTTCTCACTGGGAAGCTGCAGTTTCAGATCGCTGTGAAAGTCCCGTGACCGACTGTCACTGCAACGCTGTGCTGAGCTTGAACAACTGCCTTCACAAACCCAGTTACACAATCTGGGGGCCTTCGTAAAATGTAAATAACAACAGAAAGAACTGTTTCACAAATCTCAGATTTCATTATTTATTCACAACAGTATGCAGAGGTCATTTAAAAAAAAGACTGAGGTTGTGATCAGGAAGGTTTTTCATTTCATGAAGTTTCTGCATCTATAACCAGAAATGGTGGAATTCTGTAAAAACATACAGAAACGTGTGTCAGTGCTTCTTTAATTGCCTTATTAAGCAGAGAAGACATCGGATCATCTTTTGTTTAAGGTCTTGAGGACATTGTAGTTTCGCACAGCAGACCCATGTTAACAACAGTCACATCATTAAGAGGTCCAGTGTGACCGTCATTACTTCAACATTTAGATCACGTGATTAGGAGCAGAGGAGCGTATTTTGTTGGACTATTTGAGATTAATCTATACCTCAGAGGACAATAGAGTGTTTACTGTATGTTTTACTGTAAATGTGAACTAAAGGAGTAACTAGAACCTGTTCAGCAATGACAGATGTAAGTTAGCAGTTTAGCTAAAATCTGGCATGTTTACATTTTAAATAGTAATACCCATGTCCTTCAACATGAACTCTCTCTTTCAAGTTACATATAAAAAATAGAAAATGATGGTTTTCCATCATTACTGCCTTCTTGAGGTCAATGCACAGCATTTCAATTTAATCCCAAACATTCATTTTCTTCTTTTTGAGACACTCAGAGGTGGACTTCCAGGCGTCTTGCTTCATAACCTGAGTGTTCTTGAGCTTCAGGGTAAGAGCTAATGGCGAGACATTCTCTGGTGGATTTTCTGGTTGACAGTGCAATTCATGGCCTATCAAATGCTCTTACTTTGACACAGATGTATTGAGACCAAACTCTTCAAAAAGTTAAACTTTTGTCTCGTTAGTCCACAGATGCCTTGGACTGTTTTTGGGGTCATCAGAATGTTTTTTGTGACACAAGCCTTTATGTTCCTTTTGCTCAGCAACAGGTTCGCTGGATGAGCATTCAGGAGCATACAGAGAATTAATCAGGAGACAAAGGAACCCACCTAAAATGTCATTTTCTTTATTTATATTCAGAGCCTCAGTACCCATTTTACCCATTTACTGAGCATCTGTGGCAAGACTTGAAAACTTCTGTTCACAGACGCTCACCATCCAGTCTGGCTCAGCTTGAGCTATTTTGCAACAAAGAACAGGCAAAATTGTCAGCTTGTAGATGTGCGAAGCTGGTAGAAACAAAAGCTGTAACTGCAGTGAAAGGTGGCTCTACAAAGTATTGACACTGAGAGGCTAAATACAAATTAAAATCTCCATAGATTTTAGAAAACCGTGTATTATTTTTGTACCACTTCACAATTATGTGCTACTTTGTGTTGGCCTACTGAAAACATAAATAAAAACATTTAAGTTTGTGGTTTTAAGGTGAAAAAATGTGTGAAAGTTCAAGGGGTATGAAGACTTTTTCAAGGCGTCCTTAATCCCACAGATGGCCTTCTGTAAGGGAAGTGAGTCTGGAATCAATGAGGCAATTAAACACCTTGTTGGTGGCAGAGCCTGTAGTGTGGATGGGATTCACTCCGAGTTCCTGAAGGCTCTCGATGTTGTAGGGCTCACTCGGTTGACAGGCCTTTGCAACGTTGCATATCTGGGGCCCTTGACTCTAAGACTCGGGTAGTGGTTCCCATATTTAAATATTGGGGAGTGAAGGGTGTGCTCCGACTGTAAGGGGATTACACAATTTAAAAGTACAAATTTTGACCGAATTTTTCTTCCTTTCAGCTGATTGGTTAATGTCACGTCAATCACAAATGTAACAATCCAATGAGAGAACAGATGGGTTTGGCTGTTGGAGGGGTGCTTTAATGAGCTTCAGGTCCTGGAGGTAGTTCATTCTTATGGTTCTTGTGGGCTAAAATTGTTGGTTCTTCAGCCTAATTATTATTAGGCTGGTAACAATAATAATAATTATTGTTATTATTCTTTTTCTTTTCTTTCTTTTTTTTAAAAAAAAGTGTCTTGGTGTCATTTTTGCACACACACCAATTCTCATCTATAGATGCACAAACACAAATGTTTTAGATATTTTGCTTTACAAGGTTACAAAACTCAGTTCACAACTGGGCGGTCTGATTTACAAGTACAAAATATTTATGACCACAATTTGAGCCCATAGATGTGTGTGGAGAATCAGTTTGTGTTGAACATGTTTCACCTTCACGAATCCTCACAGACAAAGGAGGAGGAGACAGGGAGGCAGGAACCAATGAGAGACAAGGAGGAAACTGAAAAGAAGAAAATAAAGAAGAGTGAAATAAATGAGACAAGGAGAGAGTAGGCAACGAAGGAGGAGTGAAGGGTGAAGGAAACTTTGAGACAAGAAGATAGAGCCAACGTAGGAGGAGGCAGGAGATAAAGTGAAAGAAGAGAAGGGTAAAAAGAGTAAAGAAGCGATGAAGGAGACATACATAGAGGAGGAAGGAATAATGAGACTGGAGAAGTAAGAATGTGAGAGTGGGGAAGACATGGTGGAAGGAGGGAGGAGACAAGGAGGCAAGATGAAAGGAGACACATAAAGGGAACAGAAATAAAGAAAGTTAATTTTGGACAATTTATGCATTTATTTTCAATCATGTGACTCAGACGCCCTCTGCTGGTCAGTGCTAACGTCACACAGCTCAAAGAAGAAATATTTCCCTTTGTTTGCACTCAGGTTTATTTCTGCTGATGATGTCATCACTCATCTCTGTGTCCGATAGAAGAGACAGGTTACTGTTAATGTTTGTCTGACTGACACAATAAAGCCTAAACATTTATTCTTTACTGACTTTAGTCACTTTGAATCAGTGATCAGGATCCATTTACCTGACTTTACCTGTTTAAACTCATTTGTGCCTTTAATGCTACATGGAATATACAAAGGAGCACAAGGAAGATGAGGAGAGGACTGAACAGCACTTCCCTTGCCTGAAGATCATTACCTCTCCTCACCAGCAAGTCTGCAGCTCTGGCCTCGGTTTCCATCATTCATTTTCCATTTGATCTTCTTCTTTTGTGGTGTCTGTAGGCCCCAAAGACCTGGGCCTTCGCATGATGTGCCCAGTCACGTCATCCAGGTCTCACTGTCATTGTCCACATGAGAATTAAAGTCTCCAAAGATTCACTGGATGAAGAACCCTTGAGTACCCCACACAGTGACCCCCGACAGACTGGCTGCTCTGAACTGTTGTTTGGTGCATAAATACAAACCACAGTCAGGATTTGTTCCCTTTCCAAAGATGAATTAATTTGTTCCTGATTCTCTGGACGTCTGTGGTTAGTCCACATACAGGTGCATCCAGCCTACCTTTGTTCTCGCCTGTGTGGTGACGTCAGTGTTGTTGTGTATGAGTGAGTGAAGGACTGAGTTTGATTTTCACTTCAGAGTTTCTGTCTGTTGAACTGAACTCAGATTATTTGTATTTTTTTACTGAGAATGTTTAGAGACAGTCTGAATGTCTGAGAACAAAATGCTTTTGTTCATTGGTCCATTTTTGAAATTGAGGTGCTTTGATGGTCCAAAGCCCCTGACCCTAACATTGAATGAACTGTATTGGTGGGATTTCAGAGAGCTGCGCACAACGTACATAAATGTCAGTGAGCTGAAGCCGCACTGTGAAGAAGATCACGTTTTTCAGTAGTCTTGAGATCAATGTCTCATGGAGGCTTCACCTGTGGTGATGGTAATGACCTACACCTGTATTCACACCTCTGCTTGTGTGATGACTCATATGATCAATATTCGGTCAATGACCTTCAGGACAGAGGTTAGTGTCACAGTTTCAATGTAGAAACAGACACAGTTACTCTTAATGACCTCTTTGCAGATATAAATATTTAGCTCTCTTCCTCTGGTTCTGTTTTTATCTCACATTTACATCACCTGTCAGAGAACAGGTAAACGTGTACTTGTTAAACAACTTCTAGTCTCAGGTGTAATCAGCTAAATCAGCTGCCTCACCCAGAAGAACTGATGTAGTGTCTGATAGACTTCATACTTCTGTGTTTCTTTCATAGAAGTTGAACCAGAACCAGAACGACCAGAAAAACCACAGCAGCAATGACTGTGATGATGAAGGAGGAGGAAGAAGAAAGAGCTGGAGGAGGAGAATAGGTGGTGTGAGTGTTTGTTGTTGTAACGGAGGCTGTGGTTGGAGGACCTGCAGGAGACATGATAAAGCTGGTTCAGTCAGTTTATGATCAGCTCAGCAGATTGTCTTTATACAGGAAGTGATGTCAGTGTTCTGACCTCTGACCCTCAGAAACCTCTGAGGAGATGATCCAAATTCATCAGTAGAGACCTTCATCAGACTGCTGCACATTAATCATGATGCTCTGTTTTGGTTGGTTGTCCATTAAAGTAGAAATAAGCAGTGGCTGTGCCACCAGTTTTTTCTTTGCAGCCTAGAGTGACATCACTTCCTGTCTTTTCAGGAAGTGTCAGGATGTCCAGGATCCTTTCTTTATATAAAAATTAAAACAGCGTGCTGTTATTCTGATGATTAAATGAATGTGTCATGAGGGCCAGAACTGAGCCGAAGTGCAGAACCCTGGAGGAGAAGCAGAGTTTAATAATGTTAAACGTCTAGCACAGGTTAACACTTGGCAGTAGCTGAAAACAGCGAGACACAGAATGTAACAGTGACTTGGCATGAGAAACCTGGTAACGTGATCGTGGACCAAAAGGGGAAATTGGGCTGGAAGGGTAACTGGAGCGTGACAGCTTAGGTCTAGCTGTTGCACAGAGGAGAGAGGAGAACGGAGTTAGAAGAAGGGGAAACTGGAGAGGGTGAGTTTAGCTGTATTTATAGCTCACTGGCAGTTGGAGTGAAAAAAGCTTTGAGGGAGGGGCAGTGTGAGTCCAGGTGAGTTGGATGGTGTGAGCTGGCTGATCTACGTTCCACAGGTTTGGAGGTCCAAGGGATGAGCTTAAGGTAGAGTAAGAGACGTGGAAAACTAAGGCACACGACACCAAGGGACATAAAAGCCAGCTCCAACATGGAGTAGCTGACTAACTGGTGGAGATGGAACGTCAGTGTGAGGCTTAAATATCTCCAGCCTGATTGCCAAAAATCAGCTCCAGGTGAGTGGAGCAGATGAAAAGCTTATGGGCCTGCTTGGGGGCAGATATGAAAGAGGTTGAAGAACCTGGTGGAAATTTGCAGCCACTCACCTCGATTGTAAC